GCATCAAACAGATAATGGTGTCCTACTTACTAGTCTCTGTGATTATCAGTTACCATTAGAAACTAAGCTAGACAGCTCTAATAAAACACTTGCAAAGATGCAAGCTAGATATTAATGAGAGAGAGATGTAAGTCCCTGAGTAACACCTGAAGCACGCTCTCCAGAGGATGTGAGCTGTATAAGGCATAAGCCTTCATCTGAGGTTTTGAGCCTCAGCTTGTCCTACTTACTAGTCTCTGTGATTATCAGTTACCATTAGAAACTAAGCTAGACAGCTCTAATAAAACACTTGCAAAGATGCAAGCTAGATATTAATGAGAGAGAGATGTAAGTCCCTGAGTAACACCTGAAGCACGCTCTCCAGAGGATGTGAGCTGTATAAGGCATAAGCCTTCATCTGAGGTTTTGAGCCTCAGCTTCTTTCTGCCTTGCTTGAGACACCTGGAGTGAGATTTTTGCACTTGCAGTTCCCATCAGTCCAGTGATCGGCGGCGAGCCTGCCTGCCGCCGTGCCGCAGCGCTGACCTGCATCCCTGTGGGTGATAACTCCGTGTAGCAAGCGCTGGGCACCCAAGTTCCTACAGCAAGGGAGCATCTGCCTTTCCCTAGAGGATTTTTCTTTCTTTGTGTACAAAAACTGCTTCAGGAGAGAAGCGCAGAGTTTCCTCCCCAGATGTTTTGGGATGTTGCTGATTGCCTGTGATGATTCTCCCGGTAAATCACATTTTTCTCTCTCCTGTTCACACCTGGTTGGCCCATCCCAGACGCAGCCTGGCTTTTCGGGCGCAGGTTCAGTGACCGCTCGTCTCTGTCCTCGGAGGATCAGTCCCTCTGGAAATACCCTGGTTTGGTTCTCTTCAATTACATTTTAATTTTTTGTTCTACCCTCTGCCCTTTTTCTGGACTAAAATACATACACAAATTTTCCAACTTTCTGGCACGGAAAACTAATGAATGTACCTCTCTTCACTGAGCCATCAGCACCTCTACTAACCCCTGGGAAGAGTCTGGTGGGATGAAGAAGAATCACAGTTCGCTGTAGTCCTCACGTGCTCTTGGGTTTTGCTTTTTAAAAAAAATGCAGTTATGAAATCTGGAGGGTTGTTTTTACTTGGTTTTACCCCTGACGTGGAGATTAAGGATTCAGGCTAGGCCAGGAGGAGGTGATAACGTTCCCTTTCCCATCCCACCTCCTCCTCCACGCAGGCTTTGCTCGCAGCCCCTCCTCTGCCAGCCAAGGACTCCCCGCAGGGGCTGCTGCTGATTGCCGTGCCTTTCTTCCCTCGGTATCCTTAAATAAATTGAGCAATGCCACCTATTATGCTAATCTGTCCCCCGGTGCCCTGATGCCGGGGCCATGGGGACGGCACGCTCAGCCCCAGAGATGCCGAGCCTCCTGTTTTTGGCTGGAAGCCTTCCCTTCACGGAGCGCTGCCGAACGCCGGCCATCGTGGGACGGAGGAGGACGAGCACGTGCAGCAGCAGGCCAGGCTGTGCGCTGGCGGGGTTTAGGGCTTGCATGGTGGTGGTCTTCCTCAAGACGATGAGCAGGTTATTTGGCAAACGTTGGTAAGACGTGTGCAGTGTCTGGAGTGAAACGATGTTTGTGGGAAGCGAGGGTCTACGTGGCTGTGCGAGGCGACGTGTCAGCCTTTGGTCCTGTGCTTATCACCAGGTAAATCGTGCAAAAGGAGAGCACAAAGGTGTAAGATGTCAAGTTGGTAAATGAGGAACGGAACACCAGGAAAAAGAAAAATCCTTAGGGAAAAAAGCATGGCCCAAGAGAAAAAGAAACCTGTAGCAGAAACCCATAATCCCCCCGTTAGTTATTCTGCAGAGCTTGGATCCCCATTACCCCCCCCAAACTGAGACTCCTAACCTGTATCCCTGCCAGCAGCAGGCGAGTAGGGGTAAGCTGTGCTATTCCTGTCCATGCTACCTTAGCAGCACGCTTAGTTGCTGCTGCAAAGGCACAGCAGGAAAGCTGGAACAGCCTCCACTTCTGCTCATTGACACGCTCCCCCTCGCCTCCTCTGACCAGTTTTTTGCCATCCTCACCGGAGGAAGGGTTTTTTTCCCACCTTGACTCTGTGTGACTCAATTTCACTTAATTTCAGCTCTGGAGCTCTTAGGAGGAAAAAAATCTTGAAATAGAAAGTGGATCATATAAAGAGCTCCAGAGAAGGTTTGTAGATGGGTAGTAGTAGAGCAAGAGGTAGCAAACCTGAGCGGTGGGACCCTGTGAGAGAAACTGTGATTAACCCTAGGGATGTGGAAACAGCAAAGTTGCCTGAACTATTTTTGCTTGTTCCTTCTTCCACTTGAAATATGTCCTGGCAGTGATCCTTCAGTACCTGAGTTGTTGCAGTCAGATGAGCTGCAGGAGACTCATGTTTCCTAGCTGTGTGTTTTTATAGCAGTGATTTGCTGGTTCTTCGATTCCCGAAGGAGCTCTCCTTCTACTTCTTAGCTTTCCTGTCTGTTCACCTTTTTAACCCATTTTTACATTTATTTCTTATGCATATAAGAAATCCTGAACAATCCTGAACACCTTATCTCCTGCAAAAGAAGGAACATCTTGTGTGGAAATTACAGCTAGTGGATTAAATACAACCAGTCTGGTGGTTTGCCGGATGGCGATGCAGCCCAGTGGGTGCTTAGTTTTCCGTGTGTAATGCTCTGCCTGATCAAAATGAGCGTGCAGAACTCTTCGTGTAGGCGAAGGTGCCTCCCTCTGCCTCTCTGAAGGCGACCCCCCGGCTCTGGCTCAGTGTGTAGGTGTGGTGCAGAGGCAGTGTAGGCTGGGTGCAGAGACAACTGGCTGAGCTCTCTGGCCTCTCTTACCCAACAGGTAAGACTACGTGGCCAGAAAGATCATTATAATCTTTAAAAGCTGTTAATTAGCTGGTGACAGTGCACTGAAGGAGGCAGTCCAATTTGTTTCTCCAATTTGTTTCTCCAAACCAAGATGAATTTGCAATTAGAGGAAAATATTTTTCAAATTGAGTGTCTCTTTGATCAGTAAGCTAATTATCAAACAGACTGGGAACAGATGATACGACTTTTGGACCAGAGCTATAATTTCAGGCATGGACTGATGACGAAAGCCTGTGCCTGCCTGATTAATATCATAGTTACTATACATCTGCCACGTGTTCCAGCCGTTCTGCCCTGCAGAAGGGTACAAGGCTGGGAGGTTTCTGCATCTTCACAGAAACTTTCCTGCACCTGAACACAAAGTGCAGCTCTACTCTGCAACCCTGCTTTCGGTCCCGCATTCC